CAAATTACTAGTATTTATGCAAGTTTAATATGGAGCGAAGGTAAAACTTTACCTTATCCTTGTATGAAATAAGAGCCATTCATGCGTCATTGCGACTATTACCACGAAATCGGCATTCTGTTTGAAACATGACATTCCACATATGACGCATGTGTATAGCCTGATTAATACTGTTAATTTAACGGCATATTTGTTTTTCTAACCGTAGCTATACATTACCAGAATGGCTAGAAAATAATCGAGGTGTTAGCTTCAAACCATTTTTATTTTATAACTGAAAATAAAATTAAAAGTATTATCTCTTACTTTTAAATCGCTCTTTTCTGGATGAGTCATATCAATTAATGTGTTTTTTAATAAGCTACAATATGGTAAGTAGCTTTGGCCCGCGACTCTGTCCGCGAGAAATTAAACAAAGTAGCCTATGTGTTCCCAAACTATCTACCTTTATGCAAAATTTCGAGTTCCGTTCAGTAGTTTTAACTACAAACTCTAACATCCGTCCATCTAAACTTTCGTAATTAAAGTTGTTAATAAACAATTTAAAAGGTAATAACACTGTAAATATTTGGAAAACACATCAAATTAACTAATATTGGTAAAACCGATAAATAATACGATATCGTATAATATCTACTTCCATCGAACTATCTAAATCTTATCTGAAAATTATCGACGCGTCAAGTTTCCAGAAACTTCCGTAAAAAATGTTTCTATATAGACTGTTTACTGTGACTTGGCTACGGATTTATTCCATAATAATTCTCGTATATCTCGTCTTTTCTTTGGCCACAATTGACAGCTACAAGTAAGTAAAATTCTTATGATAAAATGTCACACTATCGATAACATTTTACGAAACACTTGCCATATCTCACCTAAGATTGTATCAGAGACATCCAGATTACTGAATTTAGTTTGAAATAAGTTGCAACGTGGATAGTTCGTAAGTATATTTTTAATATAGTTTATTTATAATTTAATCTCTTGATCTTAATGGTAGTCGTTAACATAAAACTACCGTGTCGTAAATTTTCAATATATATTCAGGCGTATCGTTAAATTTAAAGAGGCAGTAAGGGTACAAATATATAATCTACAAAAATTCTAATAATTTTTTTTATGAAGTAATTTATAGAAATTATAAAACCGACTTTTCTTTACCTAAATTAAATTAACATTCATTTAAAAGATGTGCTAAAATTATAAAAGACGTTTTCTTTTATTTATATTTATTTATACAAATAAACATACAATATCACAATTCAAATATAATTTTACAAATATCCCTGTATCAACCTAGTAAAGGAGCCAAGGATATAAATATAATTGAACAAAATACCGAATTTAAAAGCATTTTTACAAATTATTTTTATTACTAACCTTTGCAAAAAAATTATTATTGGTTATTTATCCTCACTGGATATAAGTACTGTGAAAAGAATTTGAAGGTGGCATTAGAAACAAAACATTTTGGCTAGTTTAGAAGTTCAGAAAAATCTGTTAACTTACAATTATTAGAAAATCCCACCTTATTTTCAATACTTTTATTAGGCACAGTAATGTTTTTATTACAATCTAAGTAAATATAAAATATTTTATTGTCAGTTAAATATAATTTTTCCCGCCAACATCACATGTCATTACTTTTTGTCTATGGCACAGGTGTTTTTTTTTTCATGTCAATTTCACATAGTCATAGACTGCGTTATATCAGGCCAGGATTTGCGAGTTATCTAGACTGATTCCGTATCGTGTTAAGTTATACTTATCCGATTCAGATAAGGCCGTCACCACACGTTAGGCTTCACAGTGATAATGTCACTAAAATCGTCTTGTATCTATGAAGCGATAAGTTCAATGTAAAAGATGATTTTTTATTAGGTTAGGTTTTGAAACATAATCTATACTGACATTATAAAGAAGAAAGATTTGTATTTTTGTATACGTTGAAATAACTCAAAAACTTCTGGTTTAATTTCAAAAATTCTTACACCATTAAAAAGCTATGTTATCGCTGAACAATATATGCTATATAATTTAAATTTCACGTGGACGAAGTCGCCAGCAACAGCTAGTCTATTATAAAGAAAATATTAACGAAATTATAAACCGCATACTTGTCCCTAGTTTAAAGTAAATAAACGCTCTTATTTCATAAAGCTAAGATGCAGAAATACTAGGTACTTTTATTTTTAAAAATGTTGAACGGTCGGCGAGGCCACGACTCGTGTCATTGCCAAGGCCTTCGAGAAACTTCCCACGGCTCGCTATATTTTTTTTCTTCTACTAAAAACGTCAATTCGATCTGGCAACACATACACCGTTTCACATATTTGCGTAAATTATGAATGGAATAAATGAAACGACCTTTACTTATTTCAATGTCAAATATTTTGTTGTTCTCATTTTAGATGTTATTGCAGAGAATGTGAAAATTGTAATAGTTTAATTTAAATACGTGAAAATGAAACATTTAAAAAAGTTAAATGAAAACCATACTTTTAAAGTTTCGCTTGAAAAAAAAATGAATCCATAAGCATCATAGCGATTTAATCCCTTTTTCATATAAAATTCAGATGTTTGTATTTTATTAACATACCTAACTTCTAGTTCTAACTAGGACCAGAATAAATTGTTTTTGTAGTAAAATGCGGTATAACGTTGAATAATGTTACTCAAATATAGCATAACTCATAGCGTTAGTCTATTATCCGCTTCAGCAGAAAACCGGCAAGGTTGTCTATTATACTATTTATAATTTTGTACGCTTTTCTTAACCTGACGGAAAGGTGGACATCGTAACGCTTAGCAACGAAAAATATCTTTTACTTTAAAAAATACGGAAAACATCCCATAGTTTAACTCGTTTATCATTTTCAATACCCAAAAATTTTACGGAAATTAATATCACGTGAATAATTGTATTTCTTTTGTAGCAGCTTCAATACATTTTAATGACTGCATAAATTTTCTTCACGTAACAATATTTAGGGAAACAAGGTAATAATTATCCTTAATAATGTTTATTGGAAGAGCAATAACTTAGTAATACTGGGTATTTACTTCACAACTCGTAAATAAATTTTACACCAATTTTCTCCATAGTAACACTATAAAGTTCGTAAACTACAAATTCTATGACAAAAGTAAAACAAAAGTATTGTGCGTCTAAATTTCTAAACACATAGAATTTTGAGGGATTGAAAAACTGATTTCAGAAATAATGTCACGAAAAATAATGCAAATAAATTATGCCAAATACGGAAAACCGATTAAGTCTAGTCGAACACTTTGATGATGTTCACAGAGAATTTCCACTGAAAACTCAACGGTATAAAAAATATTGATATTGATTGATTATAAAGAAGACTTTACGAAAAAAATAATGTACATTTTTATAATCTATAATTTAAAATTAAGGCCCGCTATAGACGCTATTTTTAACTAACAGTTTTGTCTGAACAATCGGACTGTTGAGTTAAAACTTTCAGAACTGCGCAACTGTGGCAGGCTTTAGAATTGATTACGAAACGCCGGGAACAATTTTTCCGCCCAAAACTTTTCCATAACCTTCCGATAGCGTGCCCAAGTTTCTTTATAGGTTTATGTTTGAAGCGTGTTTCGACATTGAATAGGGTAATTGTTACGGCTTCCCCACGTGCCGAAACACGCTCCCAATCCTTAGGTCAAGGTCACGTGAATACGCGCCGATTACGTCATGATCATAGACTATAAATTCGTAAGCAAAACAGCTGTTTTCTTTTACTTCCTTTTTCCTGGTCTCATAGATTAAAAATAATTTTCTAGTTTTTGTTTTTTTTTTGTTAAAGACAAATATTTTTTAGACACAGAAAAGCTTATAAGCGTTACAATTTTACTATTAAAAGGTAATCTAATGTTGTTTCTGCTTTTCCTTTTCTAAAATTTTATCAAAAAACATTTCACCGTTGTTGCCTATAATTTTACGGTAGAAATGCTTCATACGTAACTACCTACATTTTATCAAAATGTTTTTAATTTATCTTAATATTCTTACACTTTAAAAATTAATTGTTTATACCAATCGAACTTGGAATGCTCTTATGACGTTACAATCTAATTTCCTACTAATCAGTGTGCAAAATTAGACGAAATTGATTAAACGACAGAAAATAGCTAAATACATGTTGATTCCAATAAAAAAATTACGCAACGAAAGCAAAAAGCGAACTTGACATTGGCTCGTCCGTCATGGCGGCGTAGGTAACACCGGCTTGGACCAGGTCCAGACGGAAAGAAATCTCACTATTAAATCTATTTTGATGATCGCCTTAACTGATAACGCAACGATAATCTGTTGTTACGTCCTTAAAAGAAAAGGTATAAAAAAAACAACTCCCAGTTAATGCAGTAAAAAAGTTCAAGATTGAATTGCCCGTGGAACTCCTGCGCATACTAATGAATCTTTCGGAAGTTACGGCTGGTTGAGTTATGCAGTTTGACCACTTAAGTAAACAAGGTGAAGGAAGGACTCACTTTTGTTGAATGCTACTTATACCTAGGCAACAATACTACTTATGACTAAGAGAATAACTGTCTGGAAGTCAAGATTTATACTTAAAAAACTTACAGATAAAACCTACGGTCTTTTATATTTTGTTCGGCTTTTAATTTCGCCTGATTTTTAATGTTGTAATCACTAGTTGTAAACCTTACTCAGTATTGTTCGCGTCGGCTTGTCTAATTTAATTGCAATTATGCACGGATTGTAAAGACAGTCATCGTTGTTTGTACTGACTGTCGTCGTCTGAACGGCTCGCCGGCGTTCCGGCCGGCTGCGAAGCCGTACATCTGCAGCGTCGGCGGGCGGAGGGCGGCGGGCGTGAAGCATCAGCAAAGCCAAGGTTAGGCCGGGGGCGCGGTGCGGGCGCGGGGGCACGCCCGGCTTAATGCACGGCGCGCTCCCGCTCCGACCATTCTACACCTCGCAGTCGACTTCGACGGTTGTTTTAGTGCAAGGTAAGCGGTGGCCACTCTGCATAGTATTACGTTGTCCGACCGCTCCTCGCCGACCGCCACTGTGACCGTCATGCCGGGTTTTGTAAAGAGTTTCGCGACAACTGACGACTTAAACCTTTTCAAGAGTGTCGATGTTAAGATAATTTCGAGTGGTGTTCCGATATGATATCGCGCTTCAAGAGACAGCGGTGCAGCATTCGGAGATAACTCGCGAAGGTAACCGGTGGCGCCGGCCGGGGGTAGGTTTCCCTCCGAAAAGTTTTGAAACGAGTACCGAAGGGCGGGAAGCCGGACCGCGTGCGTCCCGCTCCTGCGTCCTGCGTCCTGCTTCCTGCGTCCTGCGTGTCGTGCGGCGTGCCGCGTGCCGCGCATCGATCCGCGCGCCCCTCGTCCTCGCCGCGCCCTCGCCCTCGCCCTTGCCGCTCCGACCGGCAACATTCATTTGGACAAATTTCATTCCATCATTGCATTTAGTCCTCGTTCATTTTATTTATTTGCTGTAGTTTTTATGTGATTTAGTGCATGTTTAGTCGCTAGTTAATCATATAGTAAAATCGTGAAAATGGGTGGCTGTGCAACGAAAGAAAAGAAGGAAAACAAACCGGCGGACGGGTGCGTATGTCCCAGCCGGCGTTCATCTCGGCTCGTGCTCAATGCTTGCACTTCAATTTATATGATTTATGCTTTTTGACTGAATTCTACGCTAGTAAACATTATTCTGCGTCATAATGTTCATTATCCACAATCATAAATACTATATTTGAATTACTATTTTTCTTATGGAATGAATGGTCCAGAGGTTAGTGTGAAATTTCCTAAAATTGCTTCTCTTGGAAAAATAAAAAAAAATGTTCGATATTTTTCTAAAATAACCTTCAAAAGTTTTAATAGGCTTTTGTTTGTAATAGTAATAAATCTTTCTATAAAATATATCCAACAGTTTGCTCTCGTGACATTCACCTTTTATACATTTTTTGTATTTCGATATTGATATTATAATTATCAGGACCCGGCATTTTTCTCATTTTATAACTATATTAATGCTATGATAGGCCTTTGCCTATCATAGCATTAATATTTTTTATGCCGAAAATTGTGATTGAAAATCTTAACTAAAAACCTACAGAAGGGTAAACTGAAATCGATTGTAGTTGCTTAAACGTTTGGAATAGTTATGAGTAGATGTGAAGTGAGGTTAGTCGGTGCAATACGTGGAATTTATGCCTCGGTAATCCGATATCGGTTATGTGTACATAATACCTATGAAAAGTATTGAATGCAAAGAGGTAACAAGAAACTTGCGATAATACGTTCGTCCGGCGACGACGAGTGGGAGGCAAGCAGGGCTGCGCGTACTGAGGTGCGCCACGGCGGTGCGCCATCGCGCCGCGCAGTACGAGACGCCGGCCCGGTCTGCGCGCCGACTCACCGACCTCTACCTAAATTACGTAATTCCACTAAAACCGAGTATCACAGGGTGTGTTTAAACAAATACGTATTAGTCGTTCGTCGGTCACAGCGACATTTCCACCCGTAGTTGTTAGACCCTTTCTATAATCCTTACATTGCATTTGTTAAATCGGCATATAATCCATCGACATGAATTATAAACTAAAAGTAACAATTCCAATAGTGGTTTGCGGCGGTGCTGTACTTGCGTATTACCTCATCAGGCGGTTTGTAATTCTTCTATTAAATTCATTTGTTTTCCTAGTTTGTGTTAACTTACGGACCTTTTTTTTTAAATACCTAAAAGCACACCCGTAGTTTTTACTCTATGTTAGTTAATAATCCTACTTTTTAAAATATTTGGACTTATTTCTAAAAACCCTGTGCCTAAACATTTTTAATTAAAAAGTGATTAAATTATTTATTGATCGCGCCCTTTTTGCTTTTGAGCGTGACACGTAACGTCAATCTTATTGAAATTCTTTGCTTTTCTCGGTCGAATATAAGCATAAAATAGGCAAAATGTGTACCCGAGCGACTTGTGCAGCATTAAAGGCGTTAGAATTACCGTTCTACCTTCTTAATTATGAATGTTTGTATTTCCTTATGTTATTAGTGATGCAAATTATATTACTTGCAGAAAAGCCGCAGCAATGGTGGACGCCGCAACAATCGAGAAATTGGAGGCTGGCTTCAGCAAGCTCCAGGGCTCCGACTCCAAGTCCTTGCTGAAGAAGTACCTCACCAGGGAGGTCTTCGATGCTCTTAAGAACAAGAAGACCTCTTTCGGCTCAACTCTCTTGGACTGCATTCAGTCGGGTAAGTTATCCAGTTACGAAACGGTAGTTAAAGTTTTTCAGTATTGTAATACCAGAATTGTTAGGTAAGGTTTAATTAGACAAAAGCGAATAATTTTACACTCGCTTTTAAAATGATTTCGTATGATTTTTCCAATAAGAAGTAAAATGTTTTTGACTTTCGTACTAGGAATTATGTAAGTTTCCTTAGACACTGTTTGAGCGATATGCCGCTATTATTAAGGTAGATTATTGATTATTTACTGATATAAGTTTACAGATAACATTGAAAATGGTGATGCAACGTCATTTGCAGAAAACTGATAGCTCTATTGTTCATTGTTTTAATTAAGCTGTTGCAAATAAATTCGACACCTCGCGTCATATGATCTGTGGAAAAAATTATCCTTTTAGTACTTAACATAGATGTAATTTGTTTATAGGTATTGAGAACCTGGACTCCGGCGTGGGTATCTACGCCCCCGACGCCGAGTCGTACACAGTGTTCGCGGACCTGTTCGACCCCATCATCGAGGACTACCACAATGGCTTCAAGAAGACCGACAAGCACCCGGCCAAGAACTGGGGCGATGTGGAGACCCTCGGCAACCTGGACCCCGGCAGCGAGTTCATCGTGTCGACGCGCGTGCGTTGCGGCCGCTCCATGGAGGGCTACCCCTTCAACCCCTGCCTAACGGAGGCCCAGTACAAGGAGATGGAGGACAAGGTTTCCTCTACCCTGTCCGGCCTCGAGGGTGAGCTGAAGGGCACCTTCTACCCGCTGACCGGCATGTCCAAGGAGACGCAGCAGCAGCTCATCGACGACCACTTCCTGTTCAAGGAGGGTGACCGCTTCCTGCAGGCGGCCAACGCGTGCCGCTTCTGGCCCACCGGCCGCGGCATCTACCACAACGAGAACAAGACCTTCCTCGTGTGGTGTAACGAGGAGGACCACCTGCGCATCATCTCTATGCAGATGGGCGGTGACCTGAAGCAGGTGTACAAGCGGCTGGTGACCGCCGTCAACGACATCGAGAAGAGGATCCCCTTCTCGCACAACGACCGGCTCGGCTTCCTCACCTTCTGCCCCACCAACCTGGGCACGACGGTGCGCGCCTCCGTGCACATCAAGCTGCCCAAGCTGGCGGCGGACAAGGCCAAGCTGGAGGAGGTGGCCAGCAAGTACCACCTGCAGGTGCGCGGCACACGCGGCGAGCACACCGAGGCCGAGGGCGGCGTCTACGACATCTCCAACAAGCGGCGCATGGGCCTCACCGAGTACGACGCCGTCAAGGAGATGTATGACGGCATCGCGGAACTCATCAAAATAGAGAAGTCTCTCTAAGAAGCTTTCGATCTCGTGCTATCAGTATTTTTTTGTATTATTTATCGTTTATATTATTGGATGTTGAGCGAAGTGTGGGCGCGGCGGCCGTCGGCACAACCTGACCCACTACTGTTTTCGAAAACATATTTTCTATAAGGAAATGGAAAATAAAGACAGCTAGCGTTAAGACTATATCTAAAACCTTTTTTTATTTTCTCCTAATTCCTTTTAAATTAAAACATTCGTACTACTGTTTAAAACAACAGCTAGCGCTAGTGTGATAACTAAAATCAAATCTTATTTTTATTGTTTCTTTTCACAACGAAGTTTTTTAAATTACGTTACATAATAATAAAGAAACAAAAAGCCAATATGTTTTAATCAAAGTCACTTTTAATACAAGAGATAACACTGAAGAACACAACCTACTTTTACCTAATTTACATGTTTCATTAACGCATACTGTTGTTCACTCAAACTAGCAACAAAATATACTATTTCTGTATAAATTAAGTTTGATCCTCAAATAGCTATTTAGCACGCTGTAGATTGCGACTCAAATTAAAAACCGACGATCACATCGACCAACTAGAATGAATCGCATAGAACAACTTTTAGATAAAGCTCAAGACCGATTTCTATTATTTTAATAATAATCCGATATTTATATCAGAGATCTGATCAAAATCGAATATGCAGAAAAGTAAAGCAGCGGTGCAGCATTAATTATAGTGCCATCTTTCGACGCTTTATTTTTTTAAAATGAGACATCCACCAAACATAATCACACATAATTCTTTACTCTTTGCGACTTTATCTATGGTAATATCTACCTACTCTTTGGTTGGAGGGAAAACTTTGTTGTTTAAACGTCAAACTTCAAAGTGCTTCAAAGCAACGATAAAAACAAAACAAACGGTTACAAGAGCAGATAATTATAATCTGATTTAAAAATGTCTGCTGCAAAATCTGAGAAAGACCTTCATTTACCTTTGTCTAGAGTTAAAACAATTATGAAGAGTTCTCCAGATGTAGATGCAGTTGGACCAGAACCACTGTATTTAGTAACTAAAGTGACTGTAAGTTATTATTCTGCTATACTTCAAATCAATTAGAAAAGAACTGTATTCAGCTATAAATTAAATGTATTGAATTGCAGGCAATGTTTGTTACCGATTTAGCCAAAAGGGCGTACAAAAATACAAAAGGAAACATGTTAGAGTACAAACATATAGCTGAGGTTGTGCAAGAAGATGATACTTTGGATTTTCTACGAGAAATAGTGCCAAGAAAAATTACAGTACGGGAGTACAAAGAATTAATGTCACGGAAAGCAGCCCGGGGTGACAGATCTGATGAGTCTAGTGAGGAATCTAGTGAAACAGAGAGTAGTGATGAAAGTTCAAGTGGTGTGGAAATCATAGAGTAATTGTAGCTTAATAGTGTAATCTAACTTTTTATATTATAAGGGGGCAAATAAGTAAGAAGCCACATGAACAGACCAAAAGTGACCTCTGCCCGTAGACATCCACAAATGTGATTAGTTACCTACCTTTAATTGAGGGAGGATGGGACTCCTTTTCTTATAAGAAAAAGAAAAGGCTAGTATTTTTAATTTGCCATCTAAACTAATGAACTGTTATAATTATGAAGTAAATTTACCAACATAATGAAGTTGTTTTTTATTTTGAAATAATTATTAAATATTATTGAAGAACATTGTATCTTGCAAAAAACAGTTCAAATATAATATTACTTCTTTTACTGTTTATATAAATTGCACCTTTTACATTGTGATAATTTAACAAAAGCAAGATTTTCACTTTTAGTTTTTTTTTTTTATTTTAAACCCTGCACTTGAACATAAATAACAAAACAGCGCCATCTTTGGGTTAAATCTGAAAATAGTTGAGATGCCAATTTAAATAAGTTTATAATATTTCACATAGATGTCGCTGTACGGTTGTTCCACAAAACTCCAATAAAAAATTATTTTCGCAAACGTTGCCGTAAAAGAATGGAGTAAAGTGAACTGTAAAGCAAATATATAGGGCAAAGGTCGAAAAATTTTATACATATTTTTTATTAACTTGAACTTTGCCAACCTGCGTTACTGACTTTATAAACAGACAAAAGTGACTCATATAGAAAATAAGTTGCTTTTCTCAACGGTCAAATAAATAACTTGTCACCACATAATTCGAAAATTTAATACGCTTTGCCTTGATGTCAATGCAAACAAAGATATAAATTAAGTTTAGTTTTAAATTAGTTTTTTTTTCTCATTCTTCTCGTCGAACACTTCAATAAATTACTTATGCAAAAAAACCCTTGTAATAGTTTTATTTTTCAGCTTATGTTCTAATTTTTCTGTGCGGCCCTCTGTAGGGCAAGGTTGAAAATGTTCTTTTACGTGTGAGGTCAACTGTATACCTTTGCCTGTCTGTATTTATTATGTTTATTAAATATATGAACAGATTTTGTTGGTTTACCTTTGACCCTGTGTTATATTTAATGTATTGTGTAAAGTTATGGTAGGTTAAACAGATATGTGGTTTACCACTTGACCTCGTAGTGTGCGACGATATCCACGAATAGAGGTAGAGGTCACTAGTTACGTGTTGGTCAAACCTTGTCGTTTTTGACTGTCGTGTCAATATGTAGTTTGTTACGACCATTTAATACTTATCTAGATCAATGTCTCGTTGAATAGGTAATATTTGATGTTTTCAGTCCAGCTATAAACTACAGCGTCTCGCTGAAAAATAAGTACAACAGGAATATAGCGATGTTCATACATGAAGCTAGTCGCATGTGTACAATGAGATAACGTGGTAGATGATGGTCATAGCTTTTAAATGTGTCTACGAAAAAATGTCTATTGGCACACGCCTAATTGCTTTTCAAGTTATACCATTATTACTGTAAGTTACTGCTATCTAATTGGTTATTTGTAAGAGGAGTTCGTCTCAGTGCAAATAACAATTTTTCATTAAGTGGTGTCCTGCGAATTTCCCCGACTGTATATATCCTAAGTTTTATGATGAACCTGATAATTAGCACAGTTTTTATAGCGAATAATTAGGCTTATGTAGCTTATCATTTTATAGTAAATAATAATTTCATAACTTAATATGTTATCTACAAATAAAGCCTTCATTCATAGTCCTGTTTATTAACTTTTATTATAAAGCTTAGTGTAATGACAACATTGATTTGTCGATATACGACGAATATAGGAAAACATTGCAGCTTCCGTTGCAATACTTTGCTTAATTTTGTAAATACATTTAAATAAAATTAGGGTCAAGTTTCAACAAAAGTTAAATATTTGAACCATTAAAAAAATAAAGACGTTTTATCTCTGTGCTAACGACAGGGCGTTGTCTTTAGTTAGTCATTTGTCGAACTTTGGCGTTGTTTTGTAAAGATGTCCGAGAATAAATAAACAGCTATCTCTGTTACATCAGAGAGAAAGACAGAGATGGAGATATGTACTAGTTTTGCGAACGTTAAAATCTACAGTGACTGTAACTTTATTTTCCTAATACGTAAGCGTAATGAGACTGCTTTAAAACTGTTTTATGCTATCAACCTTGCGTAATTATCCATATATTTAGTTTTAACATTATGTAAAGTTTTAGCGTCCTCAGTCGTTTGAAAGCACGCCGTGTTCTTCAATTGAACTTGTAGAGAATTATGTCAACGTTCATAACTCTAGCGATATGCGTTGTCACGAAATTATACTCGAACCTTGATTTATTCACTTGAACTTTGCATTTCTTAATGAAATATTTAATTCGATGTTGTTCAAAGATATTTAAAAATCACAGATTAGGCATAGTAAACGAAGTTTTTACACCGATACTTTCTTTGAAAGGTACAATATCAGTTGTTAAGTTTACTACGCCATCTATGCCCTGGTATGTCATAAAACCATTTCAAAAAATTATAGTAAGCTTCATCTTTTTTTATAAATTTCCTAAATTGTGGCTAAAATTAGATTATAAACATTTAATTATTTATTACATCTTTCGGCAATTAATTTAATGACAATTAATTATGTTGACATGTGGTTTTGTGCATCTAACCAATAGATAGCGTTAGTGAAAATATATTAAACGACACTTGTTAACTATGCCTACTCTATTTGTTCTTTGAATCTCTTGGTTTTCGAATAATAATCAAATACATTGAGATAACTTTATCTTAATTTAATATTACGTGTTTACCGAATTTAAAATGATAATTTTTTTCACACACGAGTGTCAATTATTACCAACCTTATAACAGATTTGAGTAGGTACTCGTTGTAAAGCAGCCTTCTAACATAACCTCTACAGTCAAAGATTAAGAAAAATGCGGATATATAAAATATTAGATCAGTATTAAAAATATTAAATCTATCTAATGTTTCCAATTTTTTTAACTTTCTTTTAGTTCAACAAATTTGAAGTTTCACAACAACGAAGTTTCTTTTTAATTTAAGTAGTATAATAACATACTGAAATTATTATTTGGTGGTTAGAATTTTTTGTTAACCAAAACCTTGTCTAGTAAAATTAGAGATAATAAGATTTACGCAATTTGTCGTTCAAATACGACCACTATAGTATAATAAAAAAAACTATTTACATGTAATTTTCGATTACGGTGTACCGGGCTGAGGTAGATGAAGGTCGTTGGCCCTGGTGTAAATTCACGTGATGAACTTTTTTTAAGAAGCATAAACAATTTTTTATTTTTAACCATAGTTTTAACTTGTCCTATTAATTTATCATTTTGTTTTGAAACGAATTCTGAAGTTCAAGCAATTCGTTCATTTGTTCCTTTCTTATTGCGTGAAATCTTAATCTACTAATTAAATAATCTAATGAGTAGAAATAAGTAATTTCTCTCCAATTGCATTTCTTTTTTAAAGGAAGACTGAATATATTTACGTCATCAAAATAGTTAGAAAAAAGAATATCTCCTTACTTGTGTAGTAAAATGCTTTAAAACGTTTTGGAATAATCATAACATGTCATTAAGTTGGTAGCAAAAACATCTACTTTGTACATTTATTTTTTATCTTGAACTAGTCACCAATTTTCCCAGATTGAGGAAAATTATCTAGATAATGTAAAAAACAGGTTTTTTGCCAACCAAAAATAGTTATAAATCAAAATGCATAATTCGAATGAAGTGTACAATTTAAATACTAAAATTTTGCAATTAATAATTACTTTAGCGTAATAAAGTTCCAATAGTTTGTTTTGGTTTTGCAACGAAATATATTAAGGAAAAACGTATGGTCGTTGTCAAGGTTAACACTTAATGACTAGTGATGGCTGAGCAAGTACTGGGGCAAGTAACCTTCGGTAGTCGGAAGTATTACCATTGTTACTCCACATGGGCGCTTGGGAAACTGGTTTATAATTTTCTATTGTACTACTTTTATGTAGAAACATGGGGTTTTCATATAAAAACTTGACTTTCTCAACTTTTATGCAGTTAGTATATAGAACAACTTCATGAATAGAACTAAGATTTACTTGCTTTTTTTTAATAATTAAATGTTGACGTTCGCTGGCTGTATCCGAACTGCATGCCAACATTGTTTTAACTTTCCAAAGATCATTAAATTTTAATAAAAAGAATAGAGGCTTTTTTTAAAGATGTAGCAGCGACGGTAGCTGTACAAGGAAACTGGCTGAAGAGATTTTTTTGCTATTAAATAATTTCAGTTGGCAACATTGGCTTACATCATTAACCTTTTATTGGTTCAAAAGCCGGTACCACAGACTGCGAATATTATGTAAACAGTACAATGTAATCTGTGAAAGGCGCGAATCTAATTTAGTTACGTTTGTTGTTGTTTTGGTTATTTACTTGCTCTTTTTAGACTTGATGTAACAAATTGTAATGTCTTTAGGAGAATAACATTTTATGGTTACAACATTGTGAAGTATGGTAATCTTAATATTTCAAAACACAGCACTTTTTACTCTGTAGGGTATATTTTGTTTAAAATGAGAATTGTCAGTTATACGGTTTTCTAAAATTTGCTTTAAATTTGGACAAGACATGTTGAAATAACTTAGTCAAATGTTTTTAATAGACAGTGACGAAAATGAAAAAGTCTGAGATGTTACCAATAACTTTTTCAACACACTAAATACTTTGACATATGCATTTTACACTATCAAGTATATACGAGTACAAATCATTGCACACGGCTGCATGCAAATTACCAGCAATTGTCAAGACACGCTCAATCATCGAGAGAAGCGATGCATTTGATAATTCCATGACTGATACTATCTATAAAAACAATACGAAATAATAAAAAAGTGTTACTGAATTTCGTAAAGGTTTCAAAAGAAAGTTATTTGTGGATACACACTGTCGAAACATTGACATTAAAAAAAATGCAGATGAATTAAGTACCTATTCCTTTTGTGAAGCCGGTCAAAAACAGAATATCTCTAATTTTCCCAATATTAAAAAGAATGAAGGCACTTTTACATAACCTAACTTTTATATGAATGCATAATCTTTTTACCTATTTTTAAGGAAATTGCGCGAATAGAGGAATGCGCCACAGATAATAAACACCATTAAGCTAGAGTTAATTTAAAAAATATATGTTAAGAAATGTATTTGAATTTTAATAGTGGACGACCACTAGTATATATTTAATTGGCGAATTAAATGCGAATTGAACTAACATCTACGCAAAGCGATACAAATAGCGATTAAAGATGTAGTCCAAGGTAATAGACCAAGGTTCATTTTCTACAGTTTTTTTTAATTATGCAATTGTAACAAATCACGCAATGTACAAGTCCAGCAAATTTTAAACGTAAATAAAATCGATAAAAGAGATGAGCATTACGTCAATATAGGAAGTTAATTTAAAAGGCCTTGTACAAGCTACAATATCAAACTAACAATCATAAAGCAGGCTTCCACGGCCGATACTGTCTTTCAAAATTATTTTTTCAAGGGAATCGACGACGAAATAGTAGATTAGAGTTTTAACAGTAGAGACACACGTTTAAAATTCGACAACTTTAATTTGGCGTAGGTTTAAAATATACACTATTTTCTTCCGTGTTTTAAGTGTTAATGTGTTAGTAGACGTCAGGTAGTAGTCTTTTTATTGACTGTAATGTTCTGGAAGTTTAGTACTTTTTACAATAAGCTGTTCCCGTATGGCTTTGAAATTATGAAAACTTCATTTTTTTATTTACGTTTGTCAAATTCTCAATTGCAAATGTCAAAAATACCGTTACCAAAATGACCTTGCTTCCTTAACGTTGGTATCTTGTAGTTTATGGTCCCTTTCCTTTCCTACGCCACGAAGAAGTGTGTTTATACGCTTTGTTATATTAGTATAGAATATTTGCATAATAAAAATAAAGCAATTGCAAGACAATTATCTAGTATTATAGAGCTATAAAATTATAAAAGATTACATCCATTAAACTCTTCTCGTCATACGCGATGTTGTGACGTCATACAAATGTAGGCATAATTAAAATGGCCACAAGTTGGCTTCGATTGCATTAAACGCATTTGCCTAGAACATTACATATATACATTTCCGTCCGTTTGTTCAGCCGATCGTGACCGCAAGTCTGTTGTAATGACGAATTGTGCGTTACAGTTACCCCTGAAGCAAACATTGGTAGTTTCTATTGCTCAACAAAAGGGTATTTTTTATGCAAAAGTATGTGAGTTTGTATTTACACCTTTGTATGGTTGAATCGATGTTGACGTCATATGTCATTAGTTTTTTTTTTAACACGATTATCTATATTTATATTATAAAGAGGAAAGATTTGTTTTTTTGTACGTGTTGAAATAACTCAAAAACTACTGGCAGAAAAATTATTTAATTAAAAAGCTACGTTACGTTATCAGTGAGTAACATAGACTATATTATTATTTTTTATTTTAAGGGTCGCATATTAAATAATTTTATAATTACTTTGAATTAATAGGAAAGAAAGAGCTATTTTTTTATCGAGCAACAGCTAGTAAAGAATAATGTAAAATTTCAATAGTAAATTAAAATTTATTTCACAAATACTTATCGATTCTAGTATATTTCGCACGACGAATCTCGTTTCAAATGGACAGATGCAATCCTCAGTTTTCCTAACAAACTTGCTCCGTTACAATTACGTAAAATACCGTAAAAGTAATTCCTGCTTCGTAGACGTTTAGCATGTATTTCAACTAATCATTATATAGTCTGTAACGGTTACAGCAATGAGTCAACATGATGGAAATTTTATGCTACCTGTGGGCTTCCATTGTCAAAGTATTCGTCACAAACAGTTTGTCATCCCGTACATTGTCTTTAAAACAACAGAGACAGCAAAACATATAATTACGAGTGTTAAAGCAGTGGAACTCCACGACAATCAGAATGTAAAACAAGCTCCATTTCACCAATTTTAATTTCCTCATTTCAAGCATTGTTACGAAAATCTTAATATTTGTATATGAAATGTTTCTGCTAATGGCATAATAGTAAAAAGCCTTTTTATCTCAAGCCAAAGTGAAATCAATGTTATTAAAAAATGTAGAAAAAGAAACCCGTGATTTCTTGTTGCCTAGAACAATTTTATTTTAAACAGAATTCAAAAATATTAGCTATTACATTTTCCAATGCAATGGCATGCGTAGAATGAAACAATTTTTTTAAGTTTATTTGATAGTGGATATTATACCTTTTGTTTTAATTTTTTCATGAAGCCCTAAAATTACAAATTTTATCGTACTAGATTTTATTTCATACGAAGCACACTCTCCTAGACGAAGTATAAGAAGGAAATCAAGGTGAGCGTTTGTTTTACTTTTTTTTATTTCTTTTGCGCAACGAATTTGCGCGCCAATGAGAATGAACCTAACCTAGCATTCGTACTCGAATCGCGCTTCTCGACGCTCTTGCGGCTGCGTTCAAATTAAAAAAACGCGTTTATTTTGAGTGTTAAGTGCATTTTGTATTTCAATTAAATAAAATGACTATTTACAGCAAAATCGTTCAAATTATTTTAATAAGTGTCTAAAATATTTGGGAACAATCAATTTAATAAAACTTGGATTTTTTAGAACACAAGTGAGTAATTTATTTTCTATTATTTAAAATAAATTATATAGATAAATAATTATTAAATTTCAAGCAATTATTAAAACCAATGCTTTAATTAAATGAAATTATTCGATTTAAAAGTTTAGAACTTTAAAAGCGTTGTATAAAAATAAAAATTTCATTAACTTTGGCATTTCATACATATAATCCACACTACAATACAATAATAAAAATACAATTTTAGAAATACCTAAAAAATATTTTAAACTTGTTTTATATTTTGAAAATTTTTAAATTCGGCAGTTTTAAATTGATGAGTTAACAATAGTTTTTTTTCCACGATTATCATAGCTCTGTGAACTTCATAATTAACTATGTATTATGTTATGTCATGACAGCACATTTTTTTACCTCTAAATGCGGCTTCGCCAATATACATTTAGGAATTAACAGTCGATGTAACCTTTTGTGTATTGTTTGACGTCGAAGATTTCTGAAAAACATTATAAATACAAATCACACGATTTGACCTAGATTATTACTAACAATGTTTATTTAACTTAACCTAAAAAACTGCTATTTGTAGTTCAACTTTTTACTTTGTACAAAAAACAATATTTAAGTAACATTACGTGTTGTAAAGTAATACTAAACGCTCATGTATAATCAAATAATAATCACATTATAATCATACTAATATTATAAATTTGAAAGTTTAGATGGATGGATGGATAGATGGATGTTTGTTAGAGTTTGTAGCCTAAACGGCCGGACGAATTTCGATTAAATTTGACATAGATGTAGGGGACAGTCTGGAATAACACGTAGGTTACCCGCTTTTGTTTTTTTTTTAATTCCACGCGGACGGAGTCACGGGCGAAAGCTAGTCGTATGTAAATAAATGGCTTAACCGGGCCCACAAAGGCGAAAATACCTTTGCAGGCCTTCTATTGTAAATAAATCCCTCACAAGTCTTTTTAATGCCAACAATAAATTTTTAAATGTGACTTCGATTACACTTCAAATTTATATCAAACACACCATCTTCTATCATACTTAATATTATAAATGCGAATTTTTAGATGGATGGATAGATGTTTGTTAGAGTTTGTAGCCAAACGGCTGAACGGATTTCAATGAAATTTGGAAAAGACGTAGAACATAGTCTGGAAGAACACATAGGCTACTCACTTTTATTTTTTTAAAGCCCCCGCCAACGGAGTCACGGGCAAAAGCTAGTAGGTTATAAATCTTTATAACCGTGGATTATTTCATCATCCACTTGCCCTTATCCTTTATGGAGGGTCGGCACAGTATGTGCTGCTCTTCCAACCGTGGATTATTTAAGCGAAAATAATCGAAAGTTTCTATGAAACTAACGTTTACATCCTAACGAGTGTAAAGTTCGGAAACAGTGCCAACGATATGCATTAAATATGCAAATTTCTGTAATTTTGCACAAATATTTAACCTTCGCGCAGCATCAGAGAAGCATCAGTAAATCGAATAATTACGAGTCACGCTATTGACCATAATTTTTTATAATTGTATGATTGATTTCACAATAACCGCTTGCTTTCGTGTTCTAACCTCTCGGCGATTATAGTCGTTGTAATTATTTACTTATACGTGAAACGACAGCTTTGAGACCATTTAATTGCATCTAGGAATCAATTTAGGCCTAATTTAACTCCCTTTCTCTTTACCACTCTTTTTTATAAGGAGAGGATGGGAAGGGGAAGTGGATTTGACGGAGGAGGAGATACATAGGAATCGGAAATACCCTCTTTAAGTGCGTCTCCTCCTCTGTCGGATAAGGGTAGGCAACGCATCTGCAATTGTGGATGTCTATGGGCAATGGTCTCTTCGCCATTATGGCGGATTCAGGTGGCCGCTTGCTCGTTTGCCATCTTATGTTATAAAAAAAATAATTGTCATCTAGCACTGGAATAGAAAACGTATTTTAGTAAATCCGAGATAACTCATATTACGCCTTAGATTTGCGTACGATGGCACAAATTTATTTAATTCAACTGGCAGTTTAAACTTTGCTGTTGTTTAAAACAATGTTCTTGAAAAAACAACTGATGTGTAGAATAATTAAAATATTGTAGCTCCAGTCAAAACATTTATCTTTTATTAAAAGACATCAACGCACACGAGACTCTTTCCGCTAATGTTTTCAACGCTCTCTTAATTCGTTGAAGAAATCAAATAAATATGCATTATTTACATTTCATAAACATAACGGGCTCACGTGATGATAGTGTTCGACTAAATCTAGATTAGTTATACTTAAGTATTTGTGTTACAACAAGCAGTATCGTAATTACAAGGTTTGCGTATCAGACACGGTTAGTGAACAAGCATGACATCTATACGATCTTTGTCATGCATACCATTACACCATTCATACATTATGGCCGCTCGTAGTTAGATGCTCGCACATCACATGGTACGTATTCCATTGCGGGTGGCGTATTAAATTTCGAGCCGGTATAAAATTTGAATGACATTATACCAACTTGTATCAATCACATCTTGTTCTAAGTAAAACAACGAACAATAAAACAATAAAAGCGGCCTTTACCTTACTTAAAAATCTTTGAATTCGTTAAAACTTTAATTCAATGTTTTTTCACAAACATAATATTTACATCCAGACTTTCTAAATATATTATTTATAATTTCTAATTAGGTTTAAGACATTTAAATAATTTACTGACTTTTTTATTTGTTTTTTAATTGAATCTATGATTAATTTAACAAATTCTTACGAATGTAACTTTTTATAGCAACATTGTTTACTCTTTACTATAAATAATTGAACCAAATCAAGTCACGTAAACACGCATTGTCCCCGACACGCGTGCTCCACACGCATCGAAATCTCTATCGTTATGAAATCTCAGTTGTATACGCTTTGTTACAAATAAACATACATATGCGGTTTAAATTTGAAATTTTATTACGCACAACACATTTGCCATAAAGAAGCTGGCTTGGCGTGGCTTGATGTAACATTTTGGTTTTGTACGTAGAAAGAAAACTGTATAAAGCTTTGACTTTGGAGAAGTATGAACCATAGACAAACATTTGTTTTTTTCCTGATCTTTCCTCTCTTTTCCTGTCTGTCATAGCGGTAGTCTAAGTAAGATTGATTGTCAATTTAATGGGCAGTTAATTACACGGAATTCACAACTATTTTAGTATAATCATTTTGTTTAAATATTCTTGTTTGTATGTACCTAAATTAATTTTAATGATTTTTCTTTTTCAATCGTATGCCCATACGGTTAAATTATAAAGTTTGATGAGGTAATTCGTTATAGCTTAGGTCACTACCAGACAATGAAATTAAAAAAAAATAACATTGAAACAAAAAAAAAAAAACAGAATAAAAAACTGACAAGTCATTGACGATCATTTGGAATTTCAAGAAAATGACTGAGTATAATGTGTTAATCATCAAAGAAGCTTTGTCAGGGTATAAAAAACAGTTATAAGGATTTAAGTTTATTTTTGTTTTATCTGTTGACTTTACGCTCGTCATTGCAACTGCATTCTTTTGAAATACCTCCCAAATCAAATTGAATAGTTTTTAAAGTACCGAGATTAATCCAATTGGATTTGTAGTGCGCTATCAAGGTTTGTCTAACTTTAGGCTAGCAGCCGATATGGGAAAGCGCCCAAACTGGTCGAAGTATATTCGTCCGGAAATACTCATTACGAATCAAGTACAGCGGACATTCTAATACAGGGCTACCAACCTGCAGCATTTGCAGTTTTTTCATTTTTTTTAATTCCACTGTAAATTTCTGATTGTCACTTAATCTTTGTTCATTTTCTCGTAACTTTTATTGGCTATTATAATTATAATTTATTTAAGTACAAATTAATCGTGACAAAATGCATTGCAAAGTCCTATCCTTTTATCATATTTTCTCGGCTGTTTTATCCTTTCCGTAGTTTAGTATTAGTGATATAGCAATACTAACATTAAGAATTTCATAAAAGAAAGTAATAAATAATCTTTGATAAATGTTATAAACTGTAGCTACCCATGTTGTTCGGAAGTAAGACCGTTAAAGCCAGACGTATAAGGTGCACAGAAACCAGTCTCGTGAGATATCCGGACCAAGGACGGCCGCCAGCCCTTGTGCACTAGTAAATAGACGCCAACATCTGGCGTCAAAATCAACTAGAAAACAACCCAATAATCGCAAAAAAAACGTTAGTACTCATGTTATATTATATTTATTTTAATTCACTGTGTTAATATTACAAATTAATTATTTTTGAAGTCATATTTCCATTGGTTGGTAGCCTCGATTTGACGTTTTCTAAACTATACATAGCTTTGTAATATGACAAACCAAAATAAATAATGATATAACAATTTGGATTTGTTTAAAAAATTAGGTAAAATCAACAAGCCGTAAAATCTGTAATACAAAATAAAAATTAGCCAGGCCAAAATATAGACGGTTTAAAAAACTTCAATCTTGTAATATATATTTGGCATATATAACACTATAATTTACTGAGGGAATGTAACCACTCACCAAACTATAACTTACAATCAGGGTCGCTATTTAGATGGCCTTAAAATAATATTAACTACAAAAAATTGCACTTTCAAAATGCGTGACCTGAAGTAGCATTAGATTTAAATTGCACAAGGTCTTTTTGTTTCGTTGCTTAAATTTACATTCAATATAGATTAATAGATAATGTAAATTATGATAAACAGCATTTAATTAAAAGAACCATGTAAATAAAATAGAGAGAAACAGAGCAGAGAACACAATTAGAATAATACTCGTATTTAAAAGAGATAGACTCACAACAATTACATACACATGAAGCCTACTTTAAGATAATACTTATCTTAGCGGCTAGGTACATCGTATGAATTGTCGCGTAGAACACAATTGTAGACGTATCAGGACGTAGAGGGATTCGGGTTTAGGGTACTACACAGCGCGCCGATGACCTTAAGCCGCAAAGGTATTTGATAAAACCTA